CAAAGCGTGCGGAGAAGTGGTGGAGGGGGGGAGAATCGGTACCACCTGCCTATAGTCAGAGCCCAAGGCTGCACAGCCAGGTTACTGAAGTCCTGTTGCTGGAGCCTGCCACCCAAATCCCGTCCCCCAGTGCAGCTCAAGAACTCGCCTTGCTCCTGCAGCGTTGTGCCCCACCTTGCTCCAGAGGCAGTGCAGGGTGGCGCATCTAGGGGCAACAAGGAGGCAGGGGGTGGGACCAATGCATAGCCCCTCCCCCCATCACCGCTCAAGCTGTTGTGGCCCCTCAAACAGCCCCTGTTGGATGCATTTGAGAGAGGCTGATCTAGAGGCTGGTGGAAATTCATTGGTATCGGACTAGTCACGCCAATGAGAATCTGCCCCTTACAGACTGAAAACAAGCCAGGGGGTGGTTGTTCAAGAGAGGGTGAGACAAGGTGGGTGAAGTAATCTCTCTTATACCTTGGGACCCCTAAGGCCACAACAACCGAGCCTACAGGGAATGGAGGGTGCGTGGGTGAGGAAGGAGGGGATGCTCGAAGAGGTGGATTAGAAAGAGTAGAGAAGGTACATGGCAACGGAGAACATGGGAATTATTCTAGGCACAGGGAGAAATTTTCCCAGGTGCAAAATATTTTACTTTGAAATAAGAAGACCGTTTTTTTTTTTTTGACAGTTGTTAAAAAAAAAAACACCCCACAAAACCAACAATGAAAAAAAACCTACAAAACCAACAGTGAAAAAAACCCACCCTCAGCTCATTTCATGGTAATGGACAATGTGTCTGGAGTTGAAGCGAATCCAGATAATTGTAGGAATTTGTCCTGTATGTTTTGTCTAACCTTTGCTGTATTGCTCTCCTCTTTTTAATCTTTTTTGATGCTCTGAAAGTTCCTGTAAAGAATCCTAATCCAGCCAGTACATGAGATCAAGACACAGAACAGCAGCATCCTTTGAATCTAGCCAGATGTACGGCAATATCAGACAGAGAAGAGAACAGTGTTCTGACGCATGGGCTTCAATGTTCTTTGTGATAGAAGCGATAAATCAATAAGACATGGCAGGCTAAAGCTGTAAAGCTGAAGTTCTTTCTGTGCCACTGGGAGACTATTTTACCCTTCTGCCTTCAGTGAATCTCATGATTTTTTGCTGCTGGGCATAGATACGTTCATTCTGAACACTTTCAAGTGCATGCAAAAGATGCACTGGGAAAAAAAGGTGAAGTAACATATTGGAGCCTGTCTTTTCAGTGTTAGAGCTTCATAGAAAAACAAAAGCTTCCGGGGGTAGCTGAGTTAGTCTGTACAGGATAAACTTAAACAACAAATGGTCTGGTAGCCTTTATAGACTAACAAAACATGTGGATGGTATCATAAGCTTTCGTGGACACACCCATGAAAGCTCATGATACCATTTACATGTTTTGTTAGTCTATAAAGGGCTACCAGACCATTTGTTGTTTTTTAAGTTTATAGAAAATCAAATCAGAGCACCAAGCTAAGTTCCTCTACATGAGGATCTCCCTGTCAGTGCACCTCAGTGCAGATGCACAAGGGTGTTGCCATTTCACATGGTGAATCTCTCCCAGGAAAAGTTATGTTGAACTCTGTTTTGGAGCCCAGTTTTGGGACATGGCTGCTCATTGGAGTGGCTTCCATATGAGGAGCAGTTAATAAAACTGGGTCTTGCCAGCTTGGAAAAGAGATGACTAATAGGGGTTATGATAGAGGTCTATAAAATCAGGACTGGTATGGAAAAAGTGAACAAAGAAGAATTATTTACTCCTTTTCATAGCACAAGAACCAGGAGTTACCACATGACATTAATAAACAGCATGTGCAAAACAAAGTAAAGGAAGTTCCTCGATGAATCTGTGGAACTTGTTGCCGGAGGATGTTGTGAAGGCCAAGACTATAACAGGGTTTCAAAGGAACTAGACAAGTTCATGGAAAATAAATCCATTAATTGCTATTAGCCATTAGGATGTTGTTCCCTGGCCTCTGTCTGCCAGAACATGGGAATGGGCAACAGGGAATGGATCGTGTGATAATTACAGGTTCTGTTCATTGCCTCTGAAGCACCTGGCTCTGACCACTGTTAGAAGACAGGACACGGAGTTAGAAGGACCTTTGGTCTGACCGAGTATGGCCATTCGTATGTGTTATACATGTACACTTTGGTGATGTGACACAATGTGGAATCCTTACACTTAACTGCATGCTAGATTTGGAGAACTACTCTAATAAAAGTGGGAAAACACTTGAAAATGCAGCATAAATGACAAGCCTTCACCTTTCTTATAGATCACTGATGTGGGAGCAAATTCTTTGGCTAGGCCTTTCCATGTTTGCTGCTAAGAATCTAGTCCCACTTACTGATGTAAGTGCAATGTTCTTGTTTCATCAAATGCTTCTCAGAAGATGAATATTTTATTATATCTGCTCCAAGAAAGAAAGAGAAAAAGGCAATGGTCAATTTAATGGAATGTTTTTGTTGGGCATGTAAGCAACTAGTCCAGTAGTCGACTACTCAACTACTCGCTCCCCCCTCCTTTCTGCTTCTGTATCAGAGGCAGCAAGCAGGGGGGAGGAGGGGAAAGAGCAGGAACCGGTGCTGGGGGGAGCCATCTTAAAAGCTGGTTTCCCCCCAGCACCATCTCTGCAGTGCTGCCTGTCCCCTCCCCCCCATGCTACTGCCTCTGATACAGCAGCGTGAGCGGCGGTGGGGGGAAACGGGAGGCTGCCACAAAGCAGCCTCTGCCTGCAGTGGGCCCAGGCTCATCATGGGCAGAGGTTGCTCTGGGCTGCTGAACTCGGCGTGAGCTGGGACTGAGCAAGACCGGCTGAATCCCAGCTCACTCTGGATACTGGACCTACCCTGCTGCACCTCTGCAGTTTAAATGTAGTAGGCACTGGGCTGTCTGCGCACCCAGCTCTTGCTACATTTAAACTGCAGAGGTGCAGCAGGGTTAGCTCCTGGACTCAGTGCAAGCCTGGACTGAGCAAGCCTTCCCTTATCATCTAATCGCGTAGTTGATAAAAAATGTATCAACTACATGATTAGTGCATTACCCACCTCTTAACATACTTAATTTTAGTCTGGTAATATGTCTGAATTAATAAAATAGTGGAGGATCTAAGACTGGGTTTAACCAATGATCAGTGTGGTTGGGACAAAAATCAACTTGTCACTGAATGGAGAAAGGTTATATTGACCTGTCTATAAGCAGGCCTGCCTCACTACCCTATCTGAGCACACTCGACTGTCATATAATTGTGTAGAAGAAAGTGTACTGTGTGAAAAGCGGATCACAGAAGGTGGTTTGAATACAAGTGAGAGTGACTGGGAAGTTTTGTGCCAGATAATACTCTCTTTTTTTTTTGTATATTCTTCCCCTTATGGAAAACATTCATGTTTGTCCAGATCATCCCTTCTCCTATCCCAAAACAGCCGCACAGCGCAATGTAATGTGTTTTCATTCAAAATTAAGCTTTTGAATGAAAATAGAATCTTTCCATTTTGTAGAATCCTAGGGCTGGAAGAGGCCTCAGGAGGTCATCAAGTCCAACCCCCTGCTCAAAACAGGACCAACTCCAACTAAATCATCCCAGCCAGGGCTTTGTCAAGCCAGGACTTAAAACCTTCTAGGGATGAAGATTCCACCACCTCCCTAGGCAACCCATTGTAGTGACATCTCCATTACTGGAGGCTTGCAATCTTGGTAGTCCACCCTCTATGGTCTTCTGCTAATCTTTGTGGCTAAATAGTTCTTTTGATCCATGCAGGATACCATGTCATCTATCCAAGATCTTTTTCCTGCCATGTATTCTGCCATCAACCTATCTTTCCAGTGCTTGAAAAACATTAATTCAGAGGCACAACACGGGTGTTATGTGCCAGGGGCAAAGACAAAATTGGCCACGGCTGCGCTGCAGGGCCCCAAACCTGACACATGGCTGAGCCTGACCCTGGGAGGAGGGGGGAAGCTTGCTTCTTCCCCTCCAGTTGGACCGGGCCCCCGCATGCACTAAGCCACCGGCAGAGATGGAGGAAGGTCGGGCTGGGGGCGGAGAGGAGAGGAGGAGGCTCCAGCCACCAGTGGCAGGCAAGCAAAAGGCTGACAGAGGGAGTGGAGGGGGACTACATTGGCACCTCCATAGTGTGGCGCCCAGGGGCAACTGCCTCCCCCGCCCTCCCTCGCTATGCCACTGCATTCGTTTCCCTTTGAATTCCTTAAATTTAAATACACCCTGCATATCAAATCTGTCTCTTCACAGGATCTGACTAGAATTTGTTGAGTCCCAATCATCTGTAGTACCAACACATTAATTTGGCAAAAATCGACTGTCTTATCAAAATATGTGAGTTCACACTGTTTGATGCAGAAAACGTCATTTAATGAAAACTTATTGAAAAGCAAAATCCAAGAGCTGCAAAATGGGCTTGAAATGACTTTTTGGGCAGTTGTTGTTCAAACTAATATTTTCTGTTTCAGCACCATCCTAGTTGCTAGGCGACTTTAATTCCCTTCCCTGTTGGGATTGTTACAGCCTATAGCTAATATTTCAAGAGGGCTCCATGTCCTGACACTGCCGCTCTATTGCTAAAGAGGGGGCCGATTAGAGTGTCAAGCCTTAAAAAGGAAAAGCATTTCCTGGAGTCACGCTTGTTGAACTGTCACTTGCGCTGAGAGTAAAGATACCTCTCCTCCTTGGAGAACAACAGGTAAGTATGAGTTCAGGATATAGAAAGGCACTATGGCCTAGAAGAGCAAAGGGTAGGAATTTGGAGGTCAAAGCATCAACTTCTGAAATCAGTGGAGTATCATGAGTTATAGCTGACTGGTCTCACAAGAGTGTTGCCGGACTCACTTCCCCTTTGTAAAACATTTAGAGATGAGATGAGAGATACAGATGAGAGATACTGTGCTAAGAGGATTATACAGCGATGGTGTTCAAGTCAAATCCCTAATATTATATAAATACTTTCTTTTTTTGTTTCAGGTCGGTCTGATGGTGACCTTGATGGCGACTGTAGTAACCGTGTCTTCTATAGCACAACTTTGGGATGATGAATGGGAGATGGTAGTTATTTCAATACAAGTAAGTTACAAAGTGCGTTTGTCAGTGTAAAGTCTAGGAATGGTGCTTGTGCTATAGTTTTTAGAGTGAAATTATTGCTCCAGTCAGGGGAATGACACACGTGCTATAGTTTTTAATACATAGAGTGAAATTATTGCTCCAGTCAGGGGAATGACACAACTGCCATTGACTTCAGAAGGTCTGCAGAGCTGGATATATGAAATATTGATCTTGGGTGTCACGCAAAGCCCTCTGAAGTGAGGAAGACTCCAGCAAACTCAGTGAAATAATTGTGTGTTCAGTTTGTATAACGGTGTGTAAATGCTGGGAGTACAGAACTGGAGTTTGAAATTTTTTGGCCCTAAAATAAAATTCCATTAACTTTTTTTATAACACTGTGTTCCTGTTTGAAAAGGAATGAAAAGAAGGCCCTTGATTTCTTCAGAGCAGAAGTGTGCTGTAAGTCAGGTGAAAAAGGAAGAAATGATTGCCAATATTTTAGTGAATCCTGAATTGGTTTTTTGATCCTTGCAGGAGGCATAAGGGATCTGTCGAAAAAGGCTTTCTTTCTTGACAGAGCCCCCTCTAGACTGCCGCTTTTTGCTGACAAAGTGCTGAGTTGGCGAAACGTGGTGGCCATTTTTATGCAAATTAGGCACGGGATATTTAAATCCCTGCCTCATTTACAATGTCGACCTGCCTAATCTGCATCCCTCTGCTGACAGAGGGATGCAGTCTAGACATACCCTATGTGTAAAGTTCTTTGCTGGGCAATCTAAATAGCCAGTTTTGTATTCAGTATTAGTATTACTATTAGATAAATGGCAGTAATGGAGAGGACGAGTGGGGAAAAGAGATGGGAGTGTGAAGAGTAGGCTGCAAAATGTGGATTTCCTCCTGCCCACTTGTATGCTTAGTGTGCTGTTTCAAGTAGGGCTCTGTTTCAAATAGATAACAGTAACAGAGGAACCTTGCATTGGCCTTTCACTTGTGTTCAGCATGTCAGAGCTGCACAGCTTTGCATTTTTTGATACCCAAACTATTTCCAAGGCTAGGCTGGCAGGTGGAGGGTGGCGAGATCTGAAGCTGATGGAGGTTTAGGATCCCCAGGAGCCAGGGGGTTGCATCTCTGACCCTCTTGGCTAAGATAATTATTGGGTCTATTCTCCATGAACTTAGAGCAACTTTGTTGTAGTAGCAGCTAAAGAGCACGTGGGATCTGCCTCAGAATGGGGTAGGCAGATACTCTGTGAAAACTTCACTGCTCAGCAGAGAGAGCTTGTCTTGAGACTCCGCTGCATGTGTATAAGAATTGTTTGAAAAGTTGTGAGACAACCTATAAAATACCTTTGGTTTTGTGTTTCCCTAGGCCACAGCTCCCTTTCTGCACATAGGAGCCCTGGCTGTTGTCACCGCCCTGTCTTGGTTGATAGCTGGACAGTTTGCAAGAATGGAAAAAGCCAGTGAGTAGCAACCCAACGTCACATACCATTGTCTCTGTGTGTGCCGAGAGAGGTTCTGAGTAATGTATTTTTACAGAACAAGATGGGGTGTTGTCTGACAAGTTCCTATTGTCCTGTACAGCCGATTTTATCTAGGATTTGTGTCCTTGAAACTCCTTTCTCAGATCTACAGACCCTCTACAGTTCAGAAGAACTGGTGAATGTCTTAGATAAATGGACAAACTACAAAATTGAAATAGTATGTCCTCACTACAGGGGAGCCTCGAAATTAGTCCGAGGTAGCCTCTGTTATTATGGATGCGCTATCTCAACTTAGAGTCCCAGGAAGTACTCGGGGGGAGTAATTACTTCAAATTAGTCTGGGGCTACGTCTAGACTACAACTTTTTATCGGAAAAATGTGCATACCTTTTTCTGATAGTTTTGTCAGAAGAGGCTTTTCCACAATTTGGCCCGTCTACACTGGGCCAAATTTTGGAAAAATCTCCTCTTTTGAAAGAGCCCTTTTTCAACATAGAAAGAGGAAGACAGGGCTTTTGAAAGAGTGCATCTGCTCTTCCTCAAAAGAAAAGCGGAAGAGCAGACGCGTTCCCTAGAAGCCGTGGAGTTTTTCTGGGACATGTATGGTATCCCGGATAAACTCAGTAGACTAGACGCAGCCTGGGAAGTAGTTATTTTGAAATAGCAGCAGCAGAGCATCCACACTAACGCTATTTCGAAATAACTATTTTGAAATAAGTGTTATTCCCTAACTAGGCGTATCCCAACTATGCATAGAAAAGAGAAGACCAAGATGGGAAGAATATGATAAAGATCTATAAAATCATGAGTGGCACAGAAAAAGTGAATTAAGGAGATGCTATTTAACCCTTTACATAACATAAGAACGAAGGGTCACCTGCTGAATCAATGGGCACCGTGTCTAAAACAAACATATGGAAGGACTTCTTCACACAACACACAGACAACTTTAGGAACTCATTGCTAGGGGATGTTGTGAAGGCCAAAAGTATAAGTGGTCTCAGAAAAGAATTAGATTAAGTTCATGGAAGGTAAGACCATCAATGGCTATTAGCCAAGATAGTCAGGGACATAACCTCCTTCTCCAGATGTCCCTAAAGTTGGGTCTGGATGGAAAGGGATCAATAACTTGATAATTGCCTTGTTTTGCTCATTCTCGCTGAAGTACCTGGTATAGGCCACTTTCAGGGACAGGCTACTGGGCTAGATGGACACTGAATGGCTGTTCTTATGTTCTTAGCTCAAGTGTCCTGACTCCATCCATTAGACTGAACTGTTTCACCTCTAGCGGATCTCCTGGGTCTTCTGAATTGCTTCACCTCTAGCGGATCTCCTGGGTCTTGGACCTTTCTACAGCCTTAATGGTTCCCTCATTTTACCTGACGCTAGCCACCTCTCTTTGTCCTCAGCAAATATCAAATCTATTTTCTGAAGGGCTCAACTGCCAAGCCTATCAAACTGGTGTGCCAGTCCCATAAACAATTCTTTTAATTAGCAACTGAGTGGTATTGAAATGCCAGCCCTGGAAGGGTTTGGCAGAACATGTAAAAGATTTCCAAGAAGTGGGTGGTAAGTATCTAGAGGCAGTGGAAAGAAAAAATACTAAAGAATTAATATTAAGAGAGACTTCTCCAAAGGCAGATTTGCTGAAGCTTCACGTACAAATGGAAAAGTTGTACTTGTTCAACAAAAAAGGAAAGAAATAATGCAATAAAATACAGTGTAGTTATTCTGCCAATCAAAATGGGAGGAATTGTAATACAAGCCTCAAGCAGATAATACATTTTCTCCTTTTCATAGTTTATAGTACTGCTTTCTTGACGTTCTCTTCTCTCATGGTGTATTCTATGTATTGTCCTCTTAACTAAGCCACTTATTAGCTCAGTTTTTTCCTCTTATTAAAACTTTACACAACACCCTAAGGGACTTGTCATAGAGTAACAACCCGTATCACACTCCCACCATAGGATCACAAAATTCCCTGCATATACAGGAATGATTTCACCCATCACGGAAAAGCATACCTCAGGGGTATGATGTTACAGCCAGGGCCGTCCCTATCAGTGCTGGTGCCCTATGCAGCCCAGCACTGGTACCCCCAGAAGGAGGTGGGGGCTGAAGCTGTAGGGCAAAGGGGTTGCCAACTCTCCCAGATGGACAGGATGCCATTTACTGCAAAGGTGCCTGGCCCAGGAGAGTTGGAAATGCTGAAGCAGAACCAGGATGAAGGCACGGGCCAGAGGAGCAGTGGGCAGAGAGAAGTGATGCTTTTAAGGGGAAAGTGTTGCTTTTCCCTAGCTGCCTGCTGTCTGAGTCCTCTGGCCCTGTGAGGGGGAGGCTGGGGACTGCTGGACCAGCTCTGAGCTGGGGGAGTTGCTGGGAAATGGGACGGGGGGCTGCTGGAGTCTCTGTTGGGGGGTGGAGTCCCAGCATTGAGCCTGCGGGGCGAGGGACGGGGGCCAAAATTCACAGGCAGCATGCAGTTGCATAGGACACCATGACATTTGGGGCAATTTGGTGCCCCAAATTTTGTGATGCCCCATGTGACTACGTGTTTTGCTATAGGTAGGGCTGGCCTTGGCTGCAGCTCTTCAGAGTTACAAACTAGCCCTGCACTGCAGTGTAAGACAGGAAGTAAAGAACGCTTAAATCAGTGGAAACTGCCAGGGGAAAGGAAGGGCAAACACAAATCCACAGCACAAGGAGAACGCTGCATCTCTTCTGTCTCCCTAACCATAGTCTTTTGTAGCTGTGTTGGCTGTTGCTCACTGACATTGGCACAGGAGTCTACTTTTCGTATCCCTTATCAAGCATCAGACCCTTAATGGTTCTTCTTCCCAAATCCAGAATCTACAGTGCAGATAAACTGTCTCTTTATAGATCTTGTTGTTTATAAGTTCCCTCCTCTCTGACAACTCACCCAGGAGGCTTCCAAGGTCAAACAGAAAACACTGGACTAAAAGGAGCAATAAAAGCAATGAGGAGGCAGGAGGAGCACTGCCAGTGACATAGTTCAGGCAACAAAATAAAATGGGGTGGCAAGGATGGGACCTCCCACCAAGGCAGAAGAGAAAGAAAAGGAGAAACTTACTCTAAGGAACAGTGTTGTCATTCTGCTTCCAGCGTATAACATGTCTGCTGGTGAGTCTTCCCGTCACTTATCTAGGTTACACTTCCCCCCCAAGCTTGTCATTGCACAAGCAAATGAAGGCTCCACAGAGCTGAGAAACGGCAGTTCGATTTTCTCCTGCCTTCTTGGTTTATATAAATTTTTATGTTTCAAATCAAGGCAACTTACTGCTGGGGAAAGGAGCTGGAGGCTAAAGGGTTCCAGTCCTATCTCCAGAACGGGAGCACCACAGTTCGAGGAGACAGATGTCTGGTGCTATCTCCATTCTTATATGGCATCCATCTCTGTAGTATCTCGGGGCATCTTATGCACTCATGGATTCATCCACTCACACAGCCCCTGGGAGGAAAGGGAGTGCCCTCCCTCTTTGGTCGGTGACTCACACAGGGTTATGTAGGGAGCTGTCTGTGATTGCCAACAAGTAGCTTGTGGCTGGTGAATGTTGTGGTGTGAGACTAGAGCCCTAAACCTCCTGGGACCCAGTGCACTGACTCACCCACAAGGCCTCTCTCTTCCCTCCAGTGACCTCAATGCTGAGCTGGAGGAACTGCCTCAGGGAGGCAAGAGACTAGTTCAGATGCCATGTACATTCAGGTGGCTCACAAAGGAGCTAGCAGGGGCGATTTTGCAGTGTGGAGCACAGACACCAGCCTCTGTGAGTGGAGGATCTCCCTCCATACTCAGTTCTGCCTGTTTTGATGCATAAGTTGGGCATCGCCTTCAATGCACTGTCCCACTTCCCCTTCCTTCTCCCATTGCTCAGCCCCATGTAGAGCCTCTGCAGCATCAAGAATCTATGTGTGAGCAGAATGTGACCAGCTGAGAGCAATTCCAGGATGGAATCTTACCAACCCCATGTGGGATCTGCTTAAATTTGATCCTGTCCTAGATGGGCTCTTTGTGTGATGCAAAAACTCCCTTAGGATACGCTTCCAGGATCAGCAATCAGCAAAGATACTCCTGACAGAGAGAGGGCACAAGGGCCTGGAACCACTGGGGAGGTGCAGGTTGCCATGCTGATCACCCCCTCCTCTGTCAGATCTTTCAGGGTATGAGAGTCTGGCTTGTACCCGGTTAGCTTTTTCCATTGAGTGGATGGGGACCACTTTAGATGGAAAACTCCTAGGAAACTATGCCAGGGAAATCACACTTGTGGGTTTCCCCACAGTGGTGTGGGACAGTCACTAGATTGCAACACCATTTGTCACTGCACAGGTCTTTTAACACTGGCGCTACAGCTACACTACAAGCTTTTTCTGGAAGAGGAAATGCAAATGGAGCACTCATTTGCATATGTCGCACTCTCATTTGCATTTTTTCTTCTGATCTTTTTTGCAGAAGAGGTTTTTGCACAAAAAAGCACTGTGTAGACTTTTGAGGAAGAAGGGCTCTTGCACAAAAGGGGGTTTTTGTGCAAAAACCTCTTCCACAAAAAGGATTGGAACAGAAAATGGAAATGAGAGCGTGACATATACAAATGAGCACTCCATTTGCATTTCTTCTTCCAGAAAAAGCTTATAGTGTAGCCATAGCCTCAGAGTGACTTCACTCATGACTCATCTGGACTCTAGAGGTGGAGAACTTGCTGTTCCATCATGTGTGCCCTGGTTCATCCATTCCCCCATT